CAAGCCCGAGTGGAGTCCACACTGCCTCTGTCAGTCCTGCTACAGGAATGAGTCCTCAAGTCCTGGAACACATTTCTCATGGAGTACCGCTTCTTCTTCTTCCTCTTCTAGAATGAGTGGCCAGGATTTTCACTTATTTCTCATTCCAGGGATGGACGTTTAATTTCAGAGAACACTGCAGGACCCTTCCTCTTTGACCTGCAGCCCCTAACATTTGTCCAACAAGAGACTGTTCCCCATCTTTCCTTCCTCGTGACCCCAGGTAGTGGAGCCCCAGGGAGAGCCAACCTGTCCACTCTCCACCCAGAGCAGTGCCTGTCACGTGGGTGCTCACGAGGAGCTGGGGAGGAGCCAAACCCCAGTATCGCGGCAGTCCCTTCAGTGTTGGAGATAAGGCCGAACCTGCCCTTCAAGGGTTGGCGCGAGGCTGCGAAGCTCATGGCACCTACAGGAGCTGAGCAGCACTGCTGTGGGCCACAGGAGGTGCTCCCTCACTGAAACGATTGCTCAATTCAGAAAGAACCCTTGTTCCCAGTTCCTTTCCTAGGACTGAAGTTCCAGGAAAGCAGGGCTGGTGTCTTTCCCCCAGGGACCTCCTGGTAAAGTAAGGAGGAGTTGCGTTGCGAGGGCCCCCCCTTGAAAGCCGTCTCTGATGTCTTCAGACCCAGAGTGCAAAGAGAGGCAGGCAGTGGGTCGCGCTGAGGCTGTGGGAGAACGGTCATCCTCAGCCCGGGAGGATTGAAAGGGAATTTTAGAATAGAAAATGCAATATAAATCCAAGGCATACAAGAGGATGGCACCCGAGGAAAACCTTAGCAGATAGTTTTGGGAGCACACACCTAGGCACAGTAACATCTAGGAGCAGGAAGGGAGGTGTCTCTGTCCAGCAGGCTGTCAGTGTTCCACTGTAACACTTGGGACGCCCCTCGGGAGGGATAGTGCAGAGCCTTCTACCGAACTGCAGGAGCTGCAAGTGCTGGTGCATTTCCGTATCTTTATGTGTGTCTATGATGTGAGGCCTACAGGGCTTGTGCTTCTGATTCTCAGTAACTGAGCTTTCTTTTTTTTTTTTTTTTTTTGACAGAGTGGACAGTGAGAGAGAGAGAGACAGAGAGAAAGGTCTTCCTTTGCCGTTGGTTCACCCTCCAATGGCCACCGCGGCCGGCGCACCGTGCTGATCCAATGGCAGGAGCCAGGAGCCAGGTGCTTCTCCTGGTCTCCCATGGGGTGCAGGGTCCAAGCACTTGGGCCATCCTCCACTGTACTCGCTGGCCACAGCAGAGAGCTGGCCTGGAAGAGGGGCAACCGGGACAGAATCTGGCGCCCCAACCGGGACTAGAACCCGGTGTGCCGGCGCCGCAAGGCGGAGGATTAGCCTAGTGAGCTGCGGCGCTGGCCAGTAACTGAGCTTTTAGCATATCCTAGAAGAGGTAATCAAGGGATTCGAGTTCCTGGACTTTGTGTTGGGAGACTCAGAGTCTTTGTTTCCTTTGGAAAGTTCAGAAGCCCAGCCTGGACCATACCCACTAGTCACTGAGGTCGTCCAGTGTGGCAGAAGGAGCACGAGATTTCCAGTTAAAAGGGGTGGAAGCCAAAGCCTGCTTTAGTCACGTACAACACCCCATGACCCAAGCCTCCTCTTGCCTCAGTGTTGTCGTCTGTACAGTGGGGGTGTTAGCTGTCCTCCCTTCTGGCATTGTTGTGGGTATTGGTCGCAAGGTCACTGATGTGCCTGACACTTGATACAAAGTCGAGGGATGGGATCTGTGTCAGGCCAGTTGCCGTTGCTGTGGTTAATAACTTGGTCACATGTAGAGAGAAGCTCACAGTCTCGGAAGCCGGAAGGCCAGGATCGGGTGTCCCCATTTGTTTCAGTGTCTGGTGAGTACCTCGTGGCAGATGGTGTCATGGCGGAAGCCGCGTGACCAGCCTCCCTCTACTGACTCATCCTGCAGGAACTGAGCTCCCACAAGCACGACCTTCAACCCTTCCAAAGGCAGTGCACTCGGTGACCAAATGGCCTCTCACCAGGCTCCTCCCCTGAGACTCCCCGCCTCCCACCATCTCCACGCTGCAGACCAAGTATCCTACACATGGCCATACATATTTTCTCTTTAGTTTTCCTACCAGCGATTCAGTGTGGACCTAGAGCTAAACTGAAATGACACGAGACAGCGTCTCCAATGTTTGACTCACCAAAATCAATCTCGGGACTTCTTAAACTCTGATGTGGAGAAAAATTGCACTCTTTGTGTTTTTCTTGATACTTCAGCAGGGACGGATCCTGTCGGAGCCGCCCTGCCCTGTAATATGGGAGGAAGAACTTGTCCAGCAGTGGCGGTTGTGTGCAGGAACACTGCTCCTGTCGTGTTGTGAGACCTCCCAGAGACCTGCACTTTCTAGGTTTCAGGCTGGGCGCTCGTCATGTGCTGGGCTTGGGCTATGTGGCTTCAGGATTGCGTGGAGCCTAAATGTGTGTTTCTGTTTGCTCATCTGGTAAGCACAAGTCTTCTCAGAGAAACGTGATGTTCAAAGCTTTTCTTGGATTCGTAGCTTACAGAATGAAGAGCTGGAAGAGATGTCAGCACCACCTAGGGCGGCATTCTGGCTTGACAGATGAGGAACCGTGACTCAGAGAAGAAGGCTTTCCCCCCTTGTGTCACGCAGTTAGTTTAGGGCTGAATTAAAACCAGAATCCAGGTATTCTGATTCCCACATTGGTGCTCTGTCCCACAAATGGGTGGTCATGTTTAAGAACCAAATATGAAACACAGCCCGGCTCGTCTTTGAGTGACACCGACAAGCTAATCATTTTATCAAATAATTATAAAATTAAATAGGGCAGATGCATCTGACCACTGAAATGACTATTTGAAGAGTTTTTAAATGTATACCTCTTGATCTTCTAGTCATCCAGAAAGATACACTAGTAGTCGTAGTTAGAGATAGCAAGAGTTACAGTTGGCATGCTTTAACGTGTCCTGAAGGACACTGGTTCGTCTCAGAGCAATGCATTTTAGAAACATTGAGAAGCTCTGAATTTCTACTCACCAAGTTATTAGGGTCATACATTGTAGCCTCAGAGTCTAATAGTTAATCCACAACTTCCTTCAGTTTATACTATCCAGTGGTCAAATATTTTCATTCCTGATGAAATCAGGAAATGATTTCATATTGACTCACCAAAGTCAACATGGGATCTAATAATCGTGTTATGATCACAAGATGTACATAGCATATATGAGTACACTGAGGAATAACAGAGCCAATCAGACAACTCTGTTTTGTTAAAGGGCAAACACATCGCAGCCACGTGGTGCGGAAGTGGTGTCTTGTTAACTGGTAGCTGCTCTCTCTGTCTATCCCAAGTCCCTTGGCTGTGCCGAGGGTCTAGGGTTCACCTGTTTCCTTACCCTGCTAAGGATGAGCCTCCACAGAAGCCTTTACAACAGAGAAGGGAACTTCTGGGTGCTTCTTTGGGAACTGTTTTTGGTAGAAAAGCATATACAACATTCCAAGATCACCACTCTATTTGAGATAATTTGGGGGGGAAATAAAGTACCTTTTGCACTAATTTTTGAAGAACAATCACTGGTGAAATTGTTATGAGTCAGGGGGAGATCCCTGCCCACTAGACTTGTTCCAGGCTCTTGCCTCCAAGCCTAAAAGAATTCAAGGAGGAAATATAGATAAAGGGGAGCACACAATAAGATACATTTAAAGACAAAAGGAAAATGCACACTCAGATGGAAGTACAGACAACCTCAAGAGAAAATGAGTATGCGGGTTTTTTAAGATTTAAGATCTTTTTATAGGATGGGGCGATACCTGGGACAAGGTGTAATTGAATATTTAAAGGGAGTGGAGTTTGGGGTGGGTTGCAGTACCTGCAGGGATCTCTAGGAGTTTTGATGGCGTCTGGAGATGTGTGGCTGCAGAGTATGTGTTGGAATCCAAGAAGTGTCGTGGTGTCTGTGCATGATGGGAAGTGAGGCTCAGGTGCATGATGGGGAATGGGTGTGCCAAGCTTGCAGCCATGTTGAGTCAGCATGGAAAGGGGTGGGGTTTGGATAGTGCCTTCTTTGGCTCCCTCCCTGCCTACATCAAATCTGACTTTTGAAGACCTCTTTATTCAAAGAAAGAGGACCAAAGACAATTCATTTAAATTGGTTTCTTTTTTCCTATGGTGATAAAAAATGTAAAGCATTCATTGTGGATCCCTTAAAACTTAAGGAACCATAAGATCTTATTCAATACTGAAAAAAAACTTTTCAAATTATGTTTTCATTTCAGATTACTCAGCTAATATATAATAGTAAGGAGAAATGAAGCAAGCAAAAACAAAGGGAAAACCTGAGAAACAAGCAAAAATAAAGAAGAAATGTGAAAGAAAGGTTAGAAAAAACAAAAGAGGGTTAGAAGAGAGGAGGATGTTTAGGAGCTAAGTGAAAGGGCAGCAGGACCACAGTCTCCCCCCAGCACTTAAGCGGAGCTTGTCGCTGTTTCTGGCGTCCTTTGGTTGACGTCTTGCCTTGTACATACATAAACTACAAAAATGTCGTGAGCAAGGTTTAGCTTCCTATTGATTCCCGATAGCTAGCACGGACACAGGGATCATAAGAATTATTAAGCAAATAGATGGGCCATGGAACACATAGAGAGAGTGAAGGAAAGCGAGCCCCCTGGCCCAAATGGCTCTGTCCGTGATCCACCGAGAGCTGCCGTTGTTTCCTGAAAAGCAAGAGACTGAGGAGTGGGCCGATCCCAGCCCTGCAATGGCAGTTCTATGACGGCAGTTTCACCAGCCCTCGCCCCTGTTCTCGTTGGCAGAGTGACAGTGTGCTAGGCATTGGAACAACACTTTTTCCTCTGTTTCCTCTGAAAACTTTCTCAGAGTTGATGTTTTCCCCTTGCCTCCCTCCCACTGGGCGTCACCGTGTCACCGGGTGGCCGCTCATCCCAGGCCCAGTCATGGGATAGCGGTGCCTCAGCAGCTCCCCTGTGACGCATGAGTGTGGACCAGCTCGCCTCTCCTGGATGCTGCCTTCCTGTCTCTGCCAGGAGGAGCCCCTCCTCCTTTGAGGACCCTGGTGGCAGCTGCCTACTTCGTAGTCCTCCCCACCCCTCTGTATTAAGGGCCCTCAAAGAGCTTCACCAGGAAATCTTCACAACATGTCACAAAAATGCACTTGGCCCATCTTCTTCTCGCTGCCTTCTGGTGCTTCCGGGCCCTCGCTGTGCGTTCTTTACAGACCTCAGCCCCAGGCTGTCCACGGGCTCCTCATCCACCCGGACTCCTGACTTCCTCAGGGTGACTTCAGGGCTCGTGGGCACAGTTCATCGCAAGAATTAACTTCCTCAAAATCTGTGGTTGTTTTTATTGTGGTAAATACACGTAACATTCACCATTTTCCCATTTTCGATGTTTAGTTTTGTGGCATTAGATATATTTTGTGGTTATCCATTGTTGTATAACCATCACCACCTTCCATTTCTGTAAGTTAAAAATTGGTACCCATTAAACACTGACTCCTCAAGTTCAGTGTTATTTACTGTATTTAAGACACTCTCACCCCACACCGCTCATTTTCTGAAGTTTTTCTACCTTCAGAATCTTAAATTTCCATATTCCATTCTCTGTCTACAGTCTCCTGTCTCTACAACCAGAATGCAGACAGATCTGAGTTGGAAGCCCAGCTAATCCACTTTCTGACCTGGGTTTCATCTGTTAATTCGGTTAATAGGTAATGCTGTGGATAATACAGAAGCAAGGCAGATAATGGAACCTACATTCATCAGCTCTTTGACAGGATTAAGAGCTTACAGAGTGCTTAGGCCAAGTCCATTCTTCATCCTCCTACCGGCCCACAGACTGGTGTTCATCCCCACCCCTCCATCTTTCTCATGCCCTTCCCAGAGACAAAGAACCTCTGGTCAGTCCAACTCTCTGCCTTAGGAGCACATCCACCAGATTGGGAGAACATGGTCTTCACTGTGGTCAGGCAAGGCCTGGTCTCCCACCCTGCTGGACCCTCTGTGCTACCCTGCAAACATTCGATGGGTCCCTCTTTGGTTTCCTCTGCCCTCTCCCACAACAGCTCCATCTGTCTGCCCTGTCACTGCCCCAGTGGTCGTGATCTGTCTTCTGTGCTCTGGTAGACCAGAGGTGTTACACACAGTGGCGTGATCAACCATGCACTTCCCCAGAGGTTCGGATTGGGTAAGAGGTGTTAGGGTTGGAATCCACAGCTTTCACAAGCAACCCCAGGGACCAGCGTGCAGGCACCGTCTGTGGACAGCTGTCCTAGCCAAGAGCTCCCGGAGAGCAGACAGGATCTTATCTGGCTTTTCTTCCCTAAGTGCTTGACAATAGATGTTGAAGGATTGATTGAATGAATCTGTCACTATGCACTTCAGAGTAAGTGACTGTTCCCTTTTGAAATGCTAATTAACTACAGCTGTTTAAATGCCATTTCAAACTCTTCAATGGGTTTTCTCTTTAATCCTTTATCAGCCCTTTTCAAGGCACTGGGGATAGGGAACTAAAAAGAACTTGTTACTCCCTGACCCTGCAACAAGGATAAAAAGCCAATGTCAAGGCCACCAGTGAGACCGGGATGGCAGCCCTGAGACACATATGCTGGACCTTGCCAGTATGCAGTGGGAAGGGCAAGTGCTCTGACCACCCTCATGGTGGGAGCCCCGCAGCTCAGGTGGCTGGAGCCACTTCACTGGACTTTCCTGGGCTGGAAAGAATCTTAAGCAAGAAACTTACTGCCAGGCCAGCAGGGCCAAGGTGCCTAAGAGAAACAGGTGGATAGATGGGGATAGACAGGTTCACCTGGTCAACAATGGAACACTTTCCAGGCCCAGCTCTGCCACTCACGAACTTGGGACTTGGATCAGTAAATCCTTGGAGCCTTCTGTTTCCTTATGGTAACATGAGGACAGTGTGATAGACCTTGCAGGGCTCTTCTGGGAACTGAAAAAAAGCAAAATAAGTAAGCATTCAGGCATAGTTCAAGACAGCTGGGTCCCTACCTTCATGGAGGGGACATATATACTGGTGGGCTACCTACAGTCAGTTCTCTTAAAAACACAGGAGGGTATAACAAATAAAATTAAAATAAATAAATAAATAAAAACTCAGAGTGGGTAGCAGCTACTCCCACTGGGGAAGTTCAACTCTGACTCTTCACCTAGTTGCAATGCAGTGTTTCCTAAGGGGACAGAGTAACCTGGGCCGCGCTTCCCACTCTGTCTTGTTGAGTGGGGCCCAGGGACAGGCGGGGCTAGGGGTGTGGGAGGGAAACTAGCATGGGCGGCTGGCACGGAAGCCTGTCTTTTACCACCCTCCTGCTCTGCCACCCTTCTCCTCTCTGCCAGGGGAAAGACAAACAGCTCATGCCTATGGTGTACCCACACACGTGGATGCGCCCTCCCCAGCCTCCGGCCCCCACCTCATCATTCGTCAGGATTCGTGGGATGCCCACAGGGAGCTGTTGTCAATTCTGCCTTTCCAGGACCTCCCTGGGAGTCCATAGCAAGTCTGTTCCAGAACTGGAGCTTCTCCCACCCTTGGAAGAGCCATGTCTAACCCTTGCTTCATTCCCACCCCTGGCCAGAGAGGGGAAGAGTGAGCGCTGACTTGACTTTAGTGTTAATAGCAGTGAACACCTGTAAACAATCTGGATCGGCCTTCAGGCTCCTCCCCACGCTCACTTCCTTGTTCCTGCTCACTTAATTGCTTTCAGGAGAAGAACCTGGACTGGTTTCCTCGGATGCGAGCCATGTCTCTCGTGAGCAATGAAGGGGACAGCGAGCAAAACGAGATCCGGAGCCTGCAGGAGAAGCTGGAGTCGACCATGAGTCTGGTCAGACAGCTGTCGGGTCAGCTGGCGGAGCTCAAGGAGCAGGTCAGTGCGCTGGGGGCCGTGGGGCGGGGTCGTGTGGGATGGCCCAGCACCGTGTGGGAGACCTGGAGCCTCCTGGGAACCACAATGTTACTGGTAAAAGAAAGACTGAGACCAGTCAACTTACATCTGAGTTTACTTGGGCAAGAACATCTTCCGAGAAGTGGGCTGAGCCTCCTGACCAGACACGGTTCCCAGTTCTGACCCTGGCCGTGTGGTGAGCTGCTTTTATAGGCAGACAGACAGGAAATGACGTACAGAGACAGCCCGGTTGGCACAGTCCCTTATTTGGGCATAATCTGGCCGTCCTCAGCCTGTGATTGGCTGAGGGTCTGGCTGCTGGGGTTGGCCGAGACCAGTTGCTTAGCTACGAGAGTATCCTGTGCCTTTGGGCTACAACCTGCCTGCGCGTCCCGCTGGGTCGCAGTTTGCTACACACAGAGATCCCTTTGGGCCAACTCAGGCTTGACGTCCAGAGGCTGGTTTAGGCCAGTTCGTTCCAGTTCAGTGTTATCCGCAGAGGTTTACAAACTCCAATGAAGAAACCCCACACTGTGCTGCAGGACCACGTCTCAGCAAGTGGGGGCGTCAGCTTCCCTGCCCCTTTGTGGAAGGAGAACAGCTAGCCAATGACAAAATACAAGGAGCTGGATACACTTTTTGATGATAATAATAAAAAAAATCATACTTTCTGCCTCGAAAGCAATTCTTAAACTCCTGGGAAAGACAGATCCTCGTTAGTATCTGCCACTTCAATGCTATAATCGACCCCTTCATCATATAAAATTGTTAGCATTCATAAAAATAATAGTGTGCCGGCGCCGCAGCTCAATAGGCTAATCCTCCGCCTAGCGGCGCCGGCACACCGGGTTCTAGTCCCGGTCGGGGCGCCGGATTCTGTCCCGGTTGCCCCTCTTCCAGGCCAGCTCTCTGCTGTGGCCCAGGAGTGCAGTGGAGGATGGCCCAAGTGCTTGGGGCCTGCACCCCATGGGAGACCAGGAAAAGCACCTGGCTCCTGGTTCCTGCCATCGGATCAGCGCGGTGCACTGGCCGCAGCAGCCATTGGGGGGTGAACCAATGGCAAAAGGAAGACCTTTCTCTCTGTCTCTCTCTCTCACTGTCCACTCTGCCTGTCAAAAAATAAATAAATAAATAATAGTGACAGTAACCGTGGCAACTATTAAAGTGACTGTGGTGGTGGTGCTAACTATGTGACAAGCAAGCTCTGTTTTAGAAAGAACCCTGGGTCCTGTTTCCTAACCATAACCCCGGGGAAGGGGGTTTGCTCTTTTCCCCTGTTTATGAAAATTCACTTTTTAACAAATCCCCCCCTCCTTTTTGGGAGGGGAGAAATCTGTCCCATGTGAGGGCGGACAGTGGGTGTTGGGGAAGTGCTAACCCAGAGCCGTTGTGATGCGCGCTGCAGAGGGAAGATCAGCTGAACGCGCTCTCTCTCTTCCCCAGATGACAGAACAAAGGAAGAATAAGCAGAGACTGGGCTTCCTGGGGTCAAACACAGCCCATGTGAATCATCACATGCCACCACACTGATACCATGGGGAGCCGTGACCGGCCTTCGAGCAGCGGCCTGCCTGATCACGGAGCGGAGGAACAGTGCCTATTGTTGAGAAGTCACAAACAGCCAAGTGCCAAGATGCGGAGCGGTTTCGCTCCGAGAACAATCTGTAGCTGTGTTCTCATGGTTGAGAAGACCCAGGCTAAAGTGCAGCCGCTCGACAGCACACAGCACACATTCTTAAGGCAACGTGAAGCGACTTGCTCAGGAGGCTGCAGTGGGTAGGAAGAGGCAGGGAGAAAGACGGGGCAGCCAGGGCTCCCTGCTGCTCAGCGGAGAGCGGTCAGCTTTGTCTGAGCACCGACTGCAACCCCCATGCTGCTGCGCTGATTGGAATTTCTCTCTTTTCCTATGGGTCAGTGTACAGGAAGTCCCACTTTGGTGGCTACGTTTTGCTCAGGCGAATACCAGGAAAGATTAAAAATGAGCATTGCAAAGAAAACCGCTAATGCTTCCAGCCTGTCGCTGTCGCAGGGCAACCCCTTTATTTATAACGTGGAACACAGTGGACTCGCGCTTCAGAGCTTGTGCCCGGCATGCTGACAGCGGAACTGGACTGTGGCTGCTTCCTCCCAGTTTCTCATGGGCCCTGGGAGAGTGGAGCACAAAGGCAGATTTCCATGTAGCCTTGTTAAGACCGTGTTTTGAGTCATGTGTAGGCTAAGCTTGTAAAAGATTTGGGGGAAGAAAAAGCCGACCGCCCCAGGGAAGAATTTTTTTGAGAACATATGAATGCCGTTAAATTATATTGAGATTAAGAAATGAAAATGCTTCACAGGGACAGGAAATCCTGAAAAGCTTGTAACAGTGGCCTTCCCATCTATAAAGGTGGAGTGAAAGCTGTTTGAGTCATGTTTGCTGTGCTTAAGGAAGCAAATGTTGGTATCCTACTCCTGCACTAGAGGGGAAAAAAAAATCCAAGAAATGTATTGAATACTCAAGGAAATGCAGCATTTCGATTGCATATTTAACACTGTGTTTGGAAGGGCTTTTCCAAATGTAAGATAAAGATCTCTTGCCCAAATTGTTTTTCTGTTAAGTCATGCACTCAGGATTTGTTGAGGGAGAAAATAGCCTGACATGGTCAGATTGTTCTTAGAGGCGCTCCATCTGGGGTATTAGAGTGCCCCACAGAGAGAGAGTGCAAGTGTTAGGAGAGGTGCTCTGTGGAAGGGGGCCAATCCCAGGACCCTGGGCTCTGGGAGATGCTTTGCAGGTTGCCCGTGGAGTCGCTACCGCATCGAAAGGTTCAGTGATTACCGCCACGGTTTAAGGTCCACTGCCGGGTGCTGTGAGCACTGTCACAGCTTTGGGACTGTTGTAACATGGTTTAAGTTATTGGGTCCTAAAAGTCCCAAGTCAGGGTCTGAGTCGAATATAAAGGAAACCTGAATCAATCCTTCTTCCATGTGGTTACAATAGAGACTCGGAACCCAGCTGTCGGAAGGCAGAGAAATGAAGTTCTGAGCCCAGTCTCTTGGTTCTCCCCCACCCCAGTACCTCCCCAAAGGAACACTCTCTCACTGTGCCCTGACAAGTAGCTGAGCGATCCCGGTATCCACGACGCAAAGATGCTGAGAGATTGTGGTCTGCCACATGCAGCACAAGCCTTAGGGTGTAACAGGCTTTCAGCAAGTACAGGAGAACATTTAGCTGTCACTCAATTATCTTTAATTCTTTTAGGACAACTTGAAGCCATTTCATCTATTTGTTTTTTTAAATGGCTTCACCAAAATCAACGTTGACTAAAGCAGCCATTTTTAAGCTACAGAATTATCATTGCTAGTTATGGTAATAGGTAAAAAAAAAAATGCATACCTTAAAGTATTTTATTCAGGCAGAGTTTTGTGGATAGGGAAAAGAAGAAAAGAGAACAAAGAGATAGGTAGTAAATAATGAGCCTTTTCAAACAGAGGAACCTGTCTCTGTTTTAGTCCAAACTGAAAATGTTTCTGAGGTCTGAGCTAAAGGTAGAGAGGATACACGGATTTGCACAGATGGGAGCACCCTGTCTCTCAGATGCTGAGCTCTCAGTTTTCCTGACACTGTGAGGGTTCATGATATGGGGAAGAAGCCATCGGATCTGTACCTGCCATCTGCAAGTGACCCGCCGTCTCCAGCCATTGCACAGTGGCCGCTCACTGTGCCACAGCCTCCTTTCTCCTGTGGGAAATACCCCGAAGATGTCGCATTTCACCAGACCCTTGATTCTTCAACATTTAAACTGTTTCCAGTTTTTAATTAAATGTTTTTAGTGCCTCTTTCTTTCCTGCCTAAATGCTTGGAGATTATAAATCTAAATAAACAAAAACAAGCAAACAAAAACAAGGCGCTTCCAGGACATTGAGTTCATGGTGGGGATGATAATAATGGGGAAACTTGACGTTGGCTACAAATTTATATTTTGTTATGTGCACGCTCATGTTTATTAATACAACTGGACTTTTTGGCCTAGGTGAGTGTCAATCCTCATATTTATATAGTGATATTAAAATAAGTACAATCATCTTTGACTTTGTTAAGGGAGATTTTAACATATTTAGCTATTAAAATACATATTGGCTTAAAAGTGTCAATTTCTGCTGAGTAATATTTTTAGTTTTAAAGGGTTTTTGTTCTTCTTTGTGTTCCATTCTGAGGCTAAGGAGTTTAACACAAATACATGTGTGTTCTAGATTAAAATAGCATTTCTAGATGAGAAAATGCTTGTATCACATGGGACTGTAATACTAATAAATTATATACATGCAAAGATTTATCATTTCTGCCTCTTAGAAAAATAGCTTAGAAAAGGGCTTGTTTTCTTGGATGTTGACATTTTTTTCTGTTAGTAAAGAGATTCTTGATATTATCAAGGGGTTATTTCATTCAAGCTGGGACTAGCTGTGTGCTTATTCCTATATTCTCAGCTCACAATTCGGTATTCTGGCTGCCCCTTTTAGTTTATGATTGCTTTATTGCAAAGATCGTGTGGTATGGCCCAGCCCCAGGACTGAGAATGAACGGAGAGAGTGGGGAGTAGGTGAACATGGGGCCCTCTGCTTCCCAGTGTGCTGAGTAGGGAACAGAGGAGCTGAGCTTAGGGAATGGCAGACAAGGGCTTAACCTCCAGCGACCCAGTAGGTTGGACATTGCACGGCTCAGTGATGTCACGGGTTCCAGACACCAGAGTTGACCCATGATATGCAGAGCACAGTACTTTGTGGGAAAACAATCCTAAGATGATACGTACCCTGTAGCTGTTCTTGAAGCTACATGGAATAACCAGTCAGCCCATTCTAACCCACAGGCCCATTCCAGAAGCTGCGATCTAAGACACATGCAGAACAGAGGGAGCGGGCGTCTGCAGCACCCACACAGACGCCCACAGCAGCCAGGAAGGGCACCTCGTGTGCAGCTCTGCTGTGCACGCCAGACATAGGAGTGAGGAGACCATGGTGAGCTATTTCCAAAACCCGACAACCAATTCCAGGTTGTAGAAAGTGTGCAAGGCTAATTAAAACCCTCCAGTCACTCATTTGCTCCCGTCTCTCAAATAGTTGTTGATAAAGCTCTCCCGTTTAGTCAAGGAAACACACAAAACCAAAACAAGCATAGAGCCCCACTGCCTGTGAAAATCGAGACATCTGACAGCAAATCTGGGCACTGGCTCCCAACTGCAGTGTT